AGAGAAAGCCTGTCTCAAAACAAATAAACAAACAAAAAAAATGAAGGAGCTTTATAATCCAAAGCTGACCCAGCCCCTCTCTTGCCTAGAATCTGCCCTGGCTCTACAATGCCCACAACAGTCTGAGCACCCCTGAGCTTGGCATTGACTGCACTGAAAAGCACGCCAATGCCTATCATCTCCGTTTCTTCTCACTGCTCAGTTTGGTCTCAAACAAGCACAAAGCTGAATCCTGGCTTCCGACTTCCTGGCTGAGTGGCTGAGCGCAAGCCAGGAAACTGAACCTTAGGATCTTCCACCATAACAAGGAGACAACAGTCCCACTTCTGAGAGTCTTAGGACTCTTACATCAAATCCATATAAAAGCTCTCACTGCAGGCATGAAGACTAGAAGTTCAGGGTCACACTCGGCTACAAATTAAGTCTGAAATCAACTTGAGTTACATGAAAACCTGTCTCAAAAAACAAAAAACAAACAAACAAACAAACAAACAAAAAACCCAAGCAAGACAGGGAAGGAACAATGGCTCAGAGGTTAAGAGCACTGGCTGCTCTTTCAAAGGACCTGGTTCAATTCCCAGCACCCGTATGGCAGCTCAAAACCATCTGTAACTCCAGTTCCAGAGGATCTGACATCAGGCACAGACAGACATACTATACAGGCAAAATACTCATATAAGTAAACTAAAAATTAAAAAAACAAACAAAAAACAGGTCAGAAAGAAAGAAAGCCAATCTAGGAATGGTAGCATATGCAGAGGCAGGAGGCTCTCTGTAGTCTTGAGGCCAGCCTGGTCTACATAGCAAGTTGCAGGACAGCCAGGGCTATATAGCCAGACCCTGTCTTAAGAGCGAGAGAGAGGGAGAGAGAGAGAGAGAGAGAGAGAGAGAGAGACCAACTCAGTTGTCCTCTGACCTCTACATGTAAACACAAACTTAATTAGTAAACAACCTTAAAACAACGAGAGTCCCATCACACTGTCCCCTTAGCTTGCAACACCCTTCCTTGCTCCCTCTAGGTCACTCTTCCTCACGCCTCGTGTCTCAGTTCACATTTGCCTTCCTCCAGGCAGCCCTCCCTGATTCCCTGGGTTGAGTTCAGATGCTCGCTTCCCCTCACAGCCCATGTGGCTGTCACTAACCTATCCCATCCCTGTCATACCAGTCTCAGCTGTTGCTGCCTGGTGACCCCAGCATCATTCATATTAAAGTCAGGCTTAGAGGAGACCATGGCCAATGAAGGTTAGCAAATCCCCAGCCTCAGAGAGATCCAGAGCGAGCGTCACTCACGGAACATGGCATCCAGCCTGACCAGGCAGCTGATGAAGTTGTCGAAGTCCATGCTGCCACTCTCGTCCGAGTAGCGCCGGATGATCATACTGTAGAGGTGCTCATTCAGGTGGAATCCTGAAAGGGCTCGGTCTCAGGGCGGGGGCACAGGGTCCTTCTCCATCCCCAGGATAGTGGTGTGGCTTCGCTCACCCCACCTCTAGCCCATCAGAGCCCTGCCAGCCCACCTGCGGCCTCAAAGGCCCCCGGGAGTTCACCGCTGCTGATGGTCCCCGATCGGTCAACATCAAAGCGTTTGTATATAGCCTGTAGGAAAGAGAAGACACAGTCCAACCGAGCATCATGGAGCATGGGTTACGGGTGTCCCCATAGCTTGGGGATCTGGATGCGGGGAGTTCCAGGGGCTACCACACACCTGCCACTTTTTAATGTTGTTCCAGAGGTACTTGAATTCCTCAAAGCCCAGCTTGCCTGTCGTATCACTCTAGCAGGAGCTTGTTAAGAACAGCATGACAAAATACAGTGGGGTGTGTGTATGAGTGTGTGTGTGTATATGAGTGTGTGTGTGGTAATGCCATAATGAAATCTATTGTTTTGTAGGCTTCCTTTTAAAAAATTAACAGAAATAAAATAAGCTTGGAGGGCTGGATAGATGGCTCAGCAGTTAGGAGCACTTACTGTTCTTGCACAGGACTTGGGTTTGGTTCCCAGAACCTTAATCCTGCAGCTCACAACCACCTGGAATTCTAGCTTTAGGGGACACAATGCCCTCAGGCCTCTAAGGACACTTGCATGCACACATACATCCACAGACACATGCATATATAAAACTAAAATAAGTCAAGTCAGGCATGGTAGCAATGCCTGTAACTCTAGCACTTGAGAAGCAAAAGGAAGATCAGGAGTTCAAGACCAACTTTGGCAGCATAATGACTTCAAGGCCAGCTTAGGCTACTAGAGTCCTCAAGAATCCAAAACTACAGTACCATAAAATAAAATAAGCTGGGTGTGATAACACATGCTGTAGTCCTCAGTAGTGTAATACTCAACCAACCCAGGTCAAGGTCAGTCTGGGCTATTTAGCAAGATGCCATATATAGATAAACAAATCAGCAAGCTGGGGATATAGCTTGAAGTAAATAGAGTTTCTGTCTACCACAGATGAGGCCTGGATTAATCCTAAAT